CAAGAACCCCTCTGGTGCCTGCTGGGACCAGAGACTGTTGGACCAAGTACTGCCGTTACTTGTTAACTCTGGGCATGCTTAAACTATTGACTCACTTTTAATTATGTGAGCAATATAAGAATACCTTCTTGTAAACGTTATCCATTAAACTGAAATCGCGGTCCGTGCGCTGCCATCTGCACAGCCTCCTACATTTTCACTTACATCATTTTCCAAGCCCAAATTCTGATTTCCGGGGTGCTCTCCAAACTGGACCTCTGGGCTTTGCTTTCAGCTCGTTCAGTCCCTATGGATGGAGCTCTCAGTGGTGTGGATGGTTTGTGTGCTCACCTACTGACTGAAAGGTGGGGGGTTCAAGTCCGCCCAGACATACCTCAGAAGAAGATCCTGATGGTCTCCTTCCCAGACATCATAGCCACTGAAAACCCCATGGGCTGCAGTTCTGCTCTGACACGTCCGGACTTGCCACGGGTTGGAGTCGACTCGACAGCAACTGGGTTTTCTTTTCTTTTTTCTTTTTATTAATTTTTATTGTGATTTGGGTGAAAGGTTACAGAGCAAATTTATTTTCCATACAGCAGTTCATATGCATTTTGTTTCATGACATTGATTGCAATTCCCCACAATGTAACAGCTCTCTTCCCACTTTCTCCCTGTAGTTCCCTCTTCCCTGTGTCCTTCTTTCCTATGCATTCCTGCCCCCTGAGCTGTCTCCCTGTGCAAACACTGCCCTTCTGATCTCCCGTGATTGACCGCTCTAAGCAGTGTACCTCCCTGGTGTAAACGTTCACCCTATGTCCCTGTCTTTTGTTTGGCTGGAAGCCACAGGAGTGAGTTCAGTTCCAGACCTGAAGGGTAACTAGAGGCCATAGTCTCGGGGGTCTCCCCAGGCTCTATCAGACTAGCAAACCTGGTCTTTTTTTTTGTTGTTCCTTCATGATTTTGAGTTTTGTTCCACATTGTTCTCCCACTCTATCCAGGATCTCCTACACTGATCCCTTTCTGAGTGGTTGACAGTGGTAGCCGGGCACGTACTAGGTTTTCTTGTTTCTGTTCCATAGACATGAGTCTCTTCTCTGTGTCTCAGACCCCAGCTTGTAGAGGCTTCCCTAAACTCAGCCAGCAGGAAAAGTTCCCCCAGCGAGCTGGTCATCCTCCACAGCCCCAACAGATATCCTCGGGAAGCCTTTCTTCCCAGCCCCTCCCTACTAACCTTTGCCTTGGGTTTTCTCCACAACGACCCCACTGCCCAAGGCCCTAGTCTTTCCACGTTTGCAGGGTGCCTGCAATTACCCAATGGCTGCTGCAACCCAGGCCCAGCATCAAATGCTTTTTATGCACAAGTTCATTTGATTGGCCCAAGTTTATCTTGTCCTCATTTCACAGATGAGAAAACTAAGGCTCAGAAGTTAAGTGACTAGCCTCCCAATCTAGGCCTCCATGATGCAGTATCAGGGGCCACACTCCTAAATCATTCTGGCTTGTCCTGTGTCAGAATCACTCAGGGAGTTTTGGTAAGATAAGGGTGCCAGGGCCCCACCTCAGGCCGACAGAGTGAAAGTCTCAAGAAATGGGACATCCCCAAAGTTTGAGAAGGGCCCACCTCCTCCTTCTTTGTGCACTGGGGGGATGCCCCATCCGGGTGGCAAAATGGTCCAGGATGGCTGCTGCTAATTCCGTGATCCCTGCTGTGGTAGTTAAGTTGTGTGTCAACTTGGCTGGGCCTGGTTGAGTGGCTGGGCAGCTGGATGGAGTTATTCCCCATGATGAGACTGGTAATCAGCTCCATGGTGGAATCTACTGGAGCAACTGGAGTAGCTGCCTTAGGGATGTGGTCTGCTTCCAGTAAACAAGGCAAAGCTTTAGGAATGGTCTGTAGCTTTCGGCACACTTGAATCCTGCACGCAGTCAGCAGTCTACCATGTTGTCTGCCGATCTTGGGACTCTTAATGGACTTGAATCAATGGCCTGCCATGTGGTTTGGTAATATTGGGACTGTGCCATTTTACTTGTCGACCTTGGGTTTGTCAGCCTCAGCAGCCAGCAGCTGTCTGAGTGAAGAAAAGACTCCAACTTTAGTGGGCCGGGAGCAAGAGGCAGAGCTGAAGCCCAAGGTCAAGGGGCTTTCACCCAGCCCCTAGAACTGACACTTTGAACTCAAACTTCTAGCCTCCAAAACTGTAAGAGAATACATTCCTGCTTGTTAAAGCCACCCATTTGTGGTATCTTCTGTTAGAGCAGCATGAAATAACCCCAACACTTGCCTTGCAGGGTCCTCAGGCAGGGCGAACTGGCTGACTGAGGGGCAGGAAGGGATGGGGGAGGGTTGTGGGGACAAGAGTTATGGGAGCCGCTCTGACCATCCCCCTCCACCCCTCAGTTCCGAGAGAACCTTCAGGACCTGCTGCCCAGCCTGCCCCAAACTGATGACTACTACCTCCTGCGCTGGCTCCGAGGTGAGGTGGGAGTCTGGGAGGTGGGGGTGGGGGTGAGGGGAAAGGTCACAGGAGAGGAGGCGGGGAGACTTGAGAGGCAGCACCGAGGAATGAAGAAAAACAAAGGTTCAGGAGTCTGTCAGCTCTAAAAGAGTCAATCAGTCAGTCGGCACAGAAACCACTCACTCTGAACCTCAATGTCTTCATCTGTAAAGTGGGGTTGTTGTAAGTGTTAAAGGACAGGGTGCAGTACCTGGATGGGCACACGGTCAAGGTGAAGTTAGATTTCACCCAGGAAGCCCTTGGGATGACAGGCCTGGCCAGGACTTAAATCAGATCGTGCTGAGCACCGTGTTCAGTACCAGACCATCTCTAGTTCCCTGAGCACATGGCCTGTGTCTTCCTCTTCGGGAACCTGGCACTGGGCAGTTGCCCAACAAACACCCAAGGAAGTGTGTTTAATTCAAGGTAGAAAAGGAGTCTCTGCTAGAAATTTATCAACAGTCTAAAAAAATTAATAATAACAGAAACAACCCCAGGGCTTAGGGAAATATTCATTTCAACTCATCACACCCCATGGATAGATTTTGAATTTGAGACAGGAGAGAAGTTAAAACCAGCCAGGAAAGTATGTAGCAGGTGCAAGATTAAAAACAGGAGCCTTGACCAGTGCCAGCCACTCGGAAAGGGATCAAAACTGGAGATGCTGGACAGAGTGGGAGGAGAAATGTGGAACAAAATCCCAAAACACAAAAATGACCAGGATTACTGAACAGATAGAGACTAATGGAACCCCCAAGACTCTGGCCCCGGGTTATCCTTCAGGCCTAGGAATGGACTCGCTTCCATGGATTGGCTCTCAACCCAACAGTAGAAAGACCTGTATGCAGAACACCTACCCCAGGGTGAGGTACCCACCTACTCTAGGCAGATGATCAATCAGCCCTGAGACATCAGAGGGGCAGCATTCACACAGAGGGAAAGCTAGACAGACAGGAATGCAGAGATAAGAAGGGCACACAGAGGGGGTGGTTATGGGGATGGGAGGGGAGGAGAGTTTTTTATGGTTAGAGATGGTAATTGGGGCTGTGAAACAAATGTGCGTGAACTGTTGAATGTAAAACAAATCTGCTTTGTAAATTTGCACCCAAAGCACAATAGAAAAAGAAAAAGAACCCACCAATGGATAAGTAGGAAAACAAAACAAAACAAAACAGAGCCTTGGAGTTGACCAGACCTGCGATAGAATCCTAGCTCTACCTGGTGTTCCCAGGATGCCTTTGGGCAAGCTGTCATGGTCAGCTCACTTCCTACTTCTGTATGTTGTTGTTGTTAGCTGCTATTGCGTCAGCTCCAACTCTTAGCAACCCTATATACAACAGAACCAAACACCGCACTGCCCCTTCCCAAACTAAGATAGACTAGGAAGAAAAGCCTGCCAATCAGCTCCCTCACAATCCTCGCCGTACTTGAGCCCATCCTTGCAGCCACTGTGCCAATCCATCTGTCTTGAGGGCCTTCCCCTTCTTTGCTGACCCTCCCCTTTACCAAGTCACAGTATCCTTCTCCAGGGAATGGTCCCTTCTGACAACACGACCAAAGTAGGTGAGACGACGTCTGGCCATTCTCGCTTCCAAGGAGCATTCCAGCTGCACTTTTTCTAGGACACATTTGTATAATGGGTGACTATTGGTCCTTACCTTCAAGCTGCCACGAGTAGGACAAGGTGCACAGCACCAGCATGGTAGAGGCCCCTGACTCCAGTCTCTTCTATTCAGTTAAATATATGTGTGTGTGTGTGTGTGTGTATGGACACTCTGGTGGCGTAGTGCCTAAGGCATTTGACTGCTAACCAGAAGGCTGGCGGTTCAAACCCACCAGCCACCCCTTGGAAGGAAGATTGGGCAATCTCCTTCTGTAGTGATACTGCCTTGGAAACCCAAGGAGGGGTCGCTATAAGTCGGGTCTGACTCGACAGCAGTGAGTTTTGGTTTTTTTTCATATGTATATACAGGTATGTATATATATACATACTCGCTGCCATCAAGTTGGATCCGACTCATAGCATGTATGTGTGTACATAGTGGTAGTTAAGGTTGTTGTCAACTTGGTTGGGTCTGGTCGAGTGGCTGGGCAGCTGGAGGTAGCTATTCCCTATGATGAGACTGGCACTCAACTCCATGGTGGAATCTGCCATGAGCAGCTGAGTAGCTGCTTTAGGGATATGGTCTGCTTCCCACATATAAGAAGCAACTTTGAGGGTGGTTTCTAGCTTATGGCACACTTGAACCCTGTGTGTAGCTGTGTCGTTGTTCAGCAGACTGCTATGTCCTGCCGACCTTGGGACTTTCAATGGACTTGAATTAATGTTTTGCCGTGTGGTTTAGTAACATTGGGACTGTGCCTTGTTACTTGTCAACCTTGGACTTGTCAGCCTCAGCAGCCAGCAGCTGTCTGAGTGAAGAAAAGCCTCCAGCTTCAGTGGGCCAGGAGCAGGAGGCAGAGCTGAAGCCCAAGGTTGAGGGGTTTTCACTCAGCCCCTAAGAGCCTGTCACTTTGAACTCAGACTTCTAGCCTCCAAACTGTAAGAGAGTAAACTCCTGTTTGTTCAAGCCATCCCATTGGTGGTATATTCTTGTCCGAGCAGCACTAGGTAACCAGAACATTATATATATATATATGATATACAGGAGCTCTGTCTGGTAGCGCAGTGCCTAAGGTATTTGACTGCTAACCGGAAGGCTGGTTGTTCAAACCCACCAGCCACTCCTCGGAAGGAAGGTTGGGCAATCTACTTCCATAGTGATATCACCTCGGAAACGCAAGGAGGGGTCGCTATGAGTCAAGTGCAACTCGACAGCACATAACAACAACAACAACAATATATATATATATATATACACATATATACTTTATTTGTTAAAACAACTTTAGATTTACGAAGAAAATTTGCCAAGACAGTGCAGAAAGCTCCCACATATCCTGAACCCAGTTTCCCTATTAACATCTCGCATTAGTAACGGAACGGTGCGTTTGTTATGATTAATAAACCAATATCGATCCGCTGTGATTAACCAAAGTCCGTCCTTTATGTAGACTCCCTCGTTTTCCTGTGAGGGCGGTGGTGGGTGGTTCAGTGGTAGAATTCCGGTTCCGTGCAGGAGACGTGGGTTCGGTTCTCGGCCTGTGCACCCCGTCTGCAGCCACCACGTCTGTCAGTGGCTTTGATGCCGAACAGGTTTCAGCGAAGCTTCCAGGCTAAGACCAGGAGGAAAAGCCTGGCAATCGACTTCCAAAACTGCAGCGGTGCAAACCCCACAATCACGCTGGTCCAGGCCGGTCATGCGTGGGGTCGTCATCAGTTGGGGGCTGACGGGACGGCAGCTGACAGCAACGGCAAGTTTTCCTGTCCCAGGATCCTATCTGGGGCTCCACGCCACGTATAGTTGTTATATCTCCTTAGACTACTTTGGCTGCGGCAGTTTCTATACAGGTTTTCACATGTCATTTTCCCCATCCTGGGGTACTGCCATCGAGTCAGACACCCCTCCTTGGGTTTCTGAGGTGGTATCACTCCTGAAGTAGATGGCCCAACCTTCCTTCCAAAGAGTGGCTGGTGGATTTGAACCACCAGCCTTCTGGTTAGCAGTCAAGTGCCTTAGGCACTACGCTACCAGAGCTGGTGGGTAGGTGCTGTTAAAAAAAAAAAAAAAATGCTGGGAGAACCCGCAGCATCTCCCTGTTCTGTTGGAAGCACTGGCCCTGGGTTCATTAATTGTAACCATTGTAGCAATGCATAACGGTCATCAAAGGAGAAGCTGTGTGCAGAGGGGAGACCGGGTGTATGGGGACTCCTTGCAATTTGTCTATAAACCTACAACTGCTCTAAAAAATAAAGACTATTGAAAAACAAAACAAAACAAAAAGCCATGTGGACCCATCCAAAGTGCCCAAACCACTGTCCACGGGATGAGAACGCACACCCTGATTCTCAATAGAAAAATCTCTTATAGACACCAAAGAGATTATTTTGTATTTTTTAATCTCTTAATATTCTTTTTTAATAAAGCCCTTCTATTCTCCCATGATTGATCTTTTTAAAAAACTAATAAAAGACTATTATGAGCAATCATACACTAATAAATTTGAAAACCTAACTGAGATGGGTGCATACCTAGAAAACATATATCATTTCAATTTCCAGCAAGAAGAAAGAAAAATATCTCAATAGACCAATGACTGTTACAGATAATGAAAACGTAGCAAGAACCTCCCCTCCCCACAAACTCAGACCCCAGTGGCTTCACAGGAGAATTCTTCCAAAGTTGGTTTTTTTTTTTTAAACTGTGATTTGGGTGACTCCAAAGTTTTAAGAATCAGTTAATTTCTATTATATACACTTTGTTCCAGTGGCTTTAAAATGTATAAAAGGGCAAAAGATATACTATGAAGTTTAGCTAACTTTGATTCCAAAGGTGGATGGGAACAATAAAAGAAAAGGATATTTAAAGCTGTTTCACTTATTAATGTACATGTCAAGTAGTATAAATAAAATATTATATGCTAGAATCTAATCAGCTATTAAAATTATACAGGTAAATCAGGGGGAGTTTATCTCGGGTATGTAAGAATAGTTGAACGTCAGAACATCTATTGATATCATTCAATATACTCTTACACTCACTGCCATGGAGTCGATTCCAACTCATGGCGACCCCCACTGGATTTCCAAGGCTGTAAGTCTTTACGGAAGAAGATTGCTTTATCTTCCTCTTGCACAGCAGCTGGTGGATTTGAACCACCAACCTCCTGGTTAGCAGTCAAATGCCTTACCTACTATACCACCAGAGCTCCTTATTCAACAGATTAATAAAGTTAAAAATGAAAAGTGATGTGACCATTGCAGTTGATGCAGAAAAGAATTTCAAAAGGTTCAAATCCTCCTTATGTGACAAATCAAAACAAAAATCTTCTCAAACTGGGAACAGAAGGGACTTTCCTTGGCTGGGTAATTATTAGGA